ACAAAAAACCTCCCAAAAAAAAAAAAAAAAAAGAGGTAATACTAAAGCTGAGACTTTACTGAACAAGAATCAGCCATGTGATGATCAGGGTAAAGAATACCCCAGTGATAAGAACCAAGAGAAGGAAAAAGGGAAGGGAGTTAAATAAAATTCTTTAAAAGAAAGTTATAAGCAGAAAATGTATTAATTTTTGTGAATAGTTTTACAAGTAATACTGTTACAATTTTTTGAAATTTATTTAATTTTATCTATTATCATCTTATTACTATTATTTTTAATTTGACCAGAGAAAGAGAGAAAGAAGGTAAGTGACAAAGCTACCTGCCAGGTCTAGGACTCAAACCATGGTAGGCCATGTGGGAGGCCAGTGCCTTATTGATGATGCCACCTGCTGGCCCCACACCATAACAATTTTTAATACTTCTTTTAGAAACAGAAGTAACAAAATAAATGTTGAAAAATGTGTAATATAAAAATATTCACACAAACTATTCTTAACTAGAGAAAATATCACAAATATTAAAAGTACAAAATAAAGAAAACTATCTAACTGATGCTACTAACTTTCATTTCTGGCACACCTAGTAAACACTGCTTTTTCCCCCTAGGAAATCAGGAATTTTAAAGTCCAGTTTAGAAGTAATCGCACACAGAGGCCGGCAGGTGGTGTGGTGGCCCAAGCACTGGACTCCTTGGATGGCCCAACTGCAGTTTGAGTCTCAGATTTGCTGGCTTGCTTTCTCACTTTCCCTTTCTCTCTCTGTCTCTCTCTGGTTGAATTAAAGAAAAATAAGAAATAAAACAAATATTTTTTAAAAAAAAAGTAATCACACACATTAGCAATCAGACCAGAAATCACAGTATCTATATAGGATGAATAGGCACAAAAGAAACAGCAGGAGTCCTTGCTAAGGTAAGAAACTCAAAACAAGTCATATTTGAAAACTATCCAGCCAAGTAAGTCAACCTGTAACCCAAGGACTGCAAGTTGTCACCAGCCAACAAGATTAAGGATCTTAATGAGAATGTGTATCAGCTAGGTCTCCAGATCCATAGCTCATAGCTTGACTTAGCTATTTTTATCCGCAATAAGATTTTCTGAAGGAAGAAGTACATTGATTAATATTCTATATCTTTGCACAGATCTGTATGAGTAGCTCTTGATGAAACAACTTAGAAATGAAGCCTTTTCTTCTAGGACTTAGAAAAAGGGGTTTCAGTCAAATGAACACAGACAGACCTAGGAAACAATGAGCCTCTCTGATGCTATACGCGATCCAACTTCCATTTTACTTTGTGAGAGAGGTCTAGAATTGCCCAATTAGGTGAGGAAAGAATGAAGGGCATGTAGACAAGATACTTTAGGAAGTAATAAATGAGAAGTAAATCTCACCAAATTAGATACAAAATGAAAAAGATAACAGAGATGAAAACTATGGAAAACTCTCACACAATTAAACTACAGAAAAGCCTAAGTTGCAATTATACCAAGGAACTAGTATTTCCAGTGGCTTTCACAATCTTGGACATTTTTAACTGTGTGTTTAAATACATCTAAAACAGTGAACGGTTACAAATTCCCAAAACTAGCAGAGAACAAAAGTATATTTTCTTAGTAATATTAATCTCTCTTTATCCTATTACCTTTTCTTGGTAATAATGAAAGCCATAAATAAAAGTGATTTTTACTCCAAATGTCCATCAAATATAAAGGAAGACAAAATTAAGCTGTATTCAGACCAGGAGATGGAGTAATGGTTATGTCGAAGGACTCCTATGTTTGAGTCCCAGACCTGGCAGCTTAAAACTCACACTGCGTGCGTGTGTATACGTGCATGCCCAAAATTTTGAGAGGAGAATGGAAGAGAAATGACTGCGGTATGGCCATCACCTCTAGGGGGTGATTTCTCGCTTTTTGTCTCTCTGCCTCTATGTCTCTTCGGTGAGCTCACATGCCCTATAGCAAAATATCTCTCCTAAAAAAAAATAAAAAATTAAGCTGTATTATAAATAGTGCAAACAACCAGACCAAACTCAATTCCATTATGAAATATCTAAAATGTACTGAATTTGTTAAACAGAATGTTATATTCCATAAAAAGACATTCAGGCCCAGCTGCAGTGGGACAGCTGAGAAAGACGATGCTGTGCAATGCCAGTGGCCCATTGAGAGGCTCCAAGTTTGCGCGTCCCAGGTTGACTGCATACACTGGGTGCACCCGCGGCTGTGCCCGTGATCTTGGCGGGCTGTGTGTGGGGCTGCAGAGCAGTCTGTGGCATGAAGTCCCTGTCAGGGGTGATCCCACCACCTCTGGAAGGAGATTAAACTTTAAAAAAAAGCAGTCGATCTTTTCTTTACTTACTTTTATAACCAAAGAAACCTTTGGGCTTCTTGCTCTCCAATGGGATAAATGTTCCTATGACGAAATCAGCAATAGCAAGCAGCAGGATCACCAAAAGAACAATCTGAGCCTGTAATTTGAAACCATCAAAATCAAAATCAAGTTCTCTTGTTATCTCTACTATGATTTGGTTTCACCAGAATATAACTTCTATGAGGGAAAGGATTTGTCTTGTTTTGGCTGCTTCCCCAGTGCCTCTGTGGCAAGCGCCAAGACGGCACTCAATAAATTTGTTAAATAAATGGCTCTTTTAAAAACTATCTTAAAATGTTACATACATTAGGGGGAAAGATAGCAAAAAGTTTCATTATGCCACAAATTTCTGAATGAGTTAAAGATGTACATGCTCTACCACAAACTACAAAGCACTATAAACCCCAAAACATGTAGACTTTCCATCCTACATCGTCTTTTCTTGTCTCCTCCACCTCACTCATGCAACACATGGAGAACATACTTGTCACAAATACAAGTTGCATACCAGGTATAAGCATACGCTAACTGTGTGACTGAAACAAGAAAAGAAGAAAAAGCAAAAAAGACAATATGAAGATTTTGGGTAGCAGTGAGGTGGGGGGGGGGGAGTGGGAACCATTCTCTCCCTGCTCCATTCTTAACCTCTCAGTAAAACTGAATAAACACTCATGAAAAATTGTGCCATCTGTGGGAACAAGAACTACTTATATATTAGTCATGTCCCAGGTACTATGATCTTATTCTTATCAATAAGGTCAATTTGTTAAATGCACAAATAAATGATCTTATCCTAATATATGACTTTAAAAACAAGGATGAGAAAAAATGTTTTTACAGATTTCTTAATTATCATATCACAGCACGAATACATGATTTTTATAAGATCTACCAAAGGAAACCTGAGGAGTAATTTGGAAGAGACTTTGAGTTGCTCAGCAGCAGGTTTATGGATACCCATTAATCGGGAAACTAGAGCTACGCCCCAACACACTCTAGGTCTCACAGGTACAGAACACTTCTGCGTTTTCTGCCTGCAGATTAGCATGTGGCTTCAGCAACTGTTTCCAGAAACAATAGCCCTGGTCTTGCTAGTCATGACTTCTGAGATTTAATAGCAAGGACCAAGAGGAGCTTCTCCAGTCCAGTATGAACATCTGCTTTCAGTTAGTGCCAATGTTTATTTTTAAATCGAATATCTAAATAAATTATAAAGCCAAATGTTTAATTTGGGCCACCTAATGTATTGACCTGAGCTTTTCTATACAATACAAAAGTAAAAAGGGAGATGGGTGAAGGGGTGAGAAGCTCAAGATTTTTAAAGTACTATGTTTAAACTGGATCTTCAACTACTAGAGCCAACTGTTCCCACCCTGCCAAATAGAAAATGACCTTATCCTTAAAATTCTCTGAAATGGCCACTTAGATACCACTAAATTCTGAAAATATGACCACATTTTAGAGTATTTTCAAAACATAAGCTCTAAAAGCTTCTATATTAAATATTTACAGATGTTTCTACATGACTTACTTTTGCTTCCCACTCCATTCCAGCTACTGAGATACCTAAAAGAATCACCACTGTAATGGCTCCAATAATTCGGATATCATTGATTTCATCTATCATAAGTATAGAATGCTCCTAGAAAAGAGAATTACAAATATAATGGTCAACATTAGTTATTTTAAATAAAATCTTAAAATTCTTTTTGATACATTTTAGAGCTATCACAGTGACTTATGTGTACAATTTAAATAAATGCTAATTTAACAAATAAATGAGAGACCTAAAGAAATTATTACTATGTACTATTGAGGTGTCAATCAAATATGTTATAAAATAATAATTATTAATAATGTTATATTTAATATACTCAAAAAAAAAAAGGAATTGCCAACAAGCAAATAGGTAATTTTTTAAAAATATAACTAAGGGGGCTGGCAGGTGGCATGGTGATTAAGGTGCTGGACTACCGCATAGCCACCTGTGGTTTGAGTCCCAGACCTAGTGGCTTGCTTTCTTAGTTTCCCTTTCTTTGTCTAGTGAAATTTAAAAATAATAATAAATAAATGATTTTAAAAATACAACTAAGCAGTTAGTACTGTACTGTCAGCTAGGATTTTAGGTTACATAGCAGAAATATATTTTTTATTCATTGTGACTGGTGAACTTATGTATTTGATGATCTTTTATGCTGCATAAGGAAAAGAGATAAAAATATCTTCATGCTGCTGTCCAAAAGCATACTGTTCCCATTCTACACGCAAAATTATATATAGCTTAGTATAAATGACTTCTTTTTTTGAGTTTCCATTTAGGATACAATTAAAGACTGTGACAGCCTAGTCAACTCATTAAATAGCTATGCATAAATGATCATTTCTTAAGTAAGGTAATAAAAGGTTTAAAAATTAAAACATTTTTTGTGATAACTCTGGATGACTGTATCATATTATAAAAACAAAAATATTTTAGGATATTATAATGATCCTATGACGTTCTTTTAAACAAAAAGTAATCTTGGTCAGGCCACATACCCTATTGGTTAAAAGAGCTGGATCCCAGCTGGCTGACTGCAGTTCTAACCCTGACCTAGGAGCTAGGAAACCATTCTGGGCTCATGTGCATGCATGAACAAAGTCCCAACAGGATGGAGAAATGGAGGAGGAGGAATTATAGCATGACCACATTACATTGGGAGGGACTTTCTCTCCTTACCATATGTCTCTATCTGGTGAGTGCATGTACCAACAGACCAAAAAAAAAAAAAAAGTCTTTTATGTTGTTGCTGTTTTAGACTCTTGCTATAGGGCGTGTTGCACTTGCAGGAGAGAAACAAAGACACAGAGTGGGGAGGAAAGTGAAAAATCATCCCCAGGGTGAGGGCCACTACACAATCCCTTCTTTTCCATTCTCCTCTCAGGATTTTGGGCACATATGCATGCTTGTCCAATTGTTCTTCCAAGTTACTGGGTCTGGAACTTGAACTGTATAGAGTAAATCCAGCACCATAACCACTATGCTATTTGCTGACCCTCAAAAAAGGGCAATCTTTATTAATGCTTTTTTAAGAAATTCTTTCTTGGTCCAGCAGGTGGCATGGTGGTTGGAGTGCTGGATTCCCACATGGCTGACTACAGTTTGAGTCCCAGACCCAGCAGCTTGAAGATCAGGCCAGGCACATGTGTTTGTGTGCCCAAAATCCAGCGAGAATGGAGAAGAAGAGATTGTGGTTTGGCCATCCCCCCTGGACAGTGATATCTGTCCCCCCACACCCCCGTCTCCCTTCAGCAAGCATGTGCACCCTGTGGCAAAAGGGGGAAAAAAATTATTTCAAAGGTTCATCCCATAGCAGAGCAGCTAAGCACTGTGTTTGTGGAGCCAGCTCTCACATGGCTGACTGCAGTTCAAATCCCAATGCCCACAGCTTGAAAAACATGCCAGGCATATGTTATGTGTGTGCCCCAGACCTAACAGGATGAAAAAGACTGTATTATCACAAACTACTGAAGCATACTTTTATTCTCTCTTGAAAGTATACATACATTCTAGCATTTAAAAAAATTCTTATGTAAAAGTCAATTACAAAGGAGAAAAAAAAATATCTGCTTGAATTTCAGATAAATAAGCTTAGGAAAAAAATTATGGAGGAAAAAAATAAACCCATATGAAAAAGAATTCTTGCCAACCAAAGGTACAAAAAGTGTTCTTATTTAATCAATATAGTGAGAAATACTTTCTCATCTTTTTTGAACATGAAGGATCATATTTGATTTTATAAAGCAGTTTCTACTTTTCTCAGCAAAAAAATTTAAATTCCAAACTTCCTTGATATTTATTTTGACATCTTTTGAATTAATCTGACATTCTTGTTAGTATCTGGATAATCATATCTGAGAATTACCTGCAGAGGGAAATAAGGAAAGCAGTGCAAATAAATACATATTGATTGGGTTTCATATTCTTGGACCATGGTTGCAACATAACACTGTAACATATATTAATATAATTATATATTAATCTAGTTTTAAATAGTTATTTCAAATTAGGTAAGATCTCTCTAAATTTGAATTTTCCATGACACAAAAAAAAATTTTTTTCAGTTTTTTTTAAGAGTTTTGTGTGTGTGTGTGTGTGCTATAGGGTGCATGTAATTTTCCATGACATAAAAAAAATTTTTTTTCAGTTTTTTTAAAGAGTTTTTTTTGTGTGTGTGCTATAGGGTGCATGCACTCGCCAGAAAGACAGAGAGACAGAAAGCGAGAAATTACCCCCCAGGGGAGATGGTCACGCCACAACCCCTTCTCCTCCATTCTCCTCTCTGGATCTTGGGCACGCACACACACGCGCCCAGCATGAGTTTAAGCCACCGGGTCTGGGATTCAAATTGCAGTTGACTACATGGAGTCCAGCGACATAGCCATTATGCTAACTGCTGGTCCCCACAAAATTTTTTTAAATACTAAATACTCTGATTAGAGCTCACAGAGTAAATCTTAAGCTTTGAATGTTAGGCGAGAGGGTGGTGTGGTGGCTAAGGTGTTGGACTCCTATGGAGTGGACCGCAGTTTGAGTCCCAGTGCTGGTGGCTTGCTTTCTCATTTTCCCTTTCTCTCTGTCTCTCACCAGTCAAATTAAAATAATAAGTAATCCTTTAAAAAAAAAAACTTTGAATGTCAAAAAGCACATACTAAATTAAACAATGAAAGACTATATTTTTTTAAATAATTATTTTCTTTCTTTCTTTCTTTCTTTTAATTTGACAGAAAGGGACAGAACAAGAGAGAAAGAAAGAGAGAAAGAGAAGGGAAGAAAGCGAGTGAACAAGTCGCCAAGTCCGGGATTTGAACCATGTTCAGTCATGTGGGAGTCCAGTGCCCCTAACCAGTGCCCCTAACCACCACCCCAACTGCCAGCTCCAATGAGAGAAAATTAACTCTAGTGTTTATATTGTTTGTTTGTTTACTTACAGCCTTCCTTCCATTCCTTTAGACTATACACATAAAGGTCCACACCAATACAGGTATCAATCTTTTTCAGATTTTCTATTTCCTGATATACCACATGCTATTACAAAAGAATTGTTACAACCTAACCTAACATGAACAACTACAGGTGTTGCTCAAGGCACTTCTCATTTAATACCACTGAAGAGTCCTATTTACTCTTCTTTAATTAGACACATATTAACTTACCAAACATGTTCCCTTCTGAACTCAAGAACCTTCTGGCCAGCTCTCTTTGGATACACCCCTGGTTACTCAAATTAGCACCCATCGAAATAGTAACTGCCCTGTGTTAAGTGAATGGCAATAAATACCTTCCATCTGAATTCCCAAATCAGAAATTTGTACATAAACTTAAAATCCTTTTTCTTATTCTAATTTCTTTTTTTTTTTTTTTTTTGAGAGGTTTTTGCTATAGGGCGCGTGCCCTCACCACAAAGAGAGAGACAGAGAGACAAAAAGCAAGAAATCATCCCCCGGGGGGGATGGCCACGCTGCAATCCCTTCTCCTCCATTCTCCTCTAGGGATTTTGGGCATGCACGCACACGTGCCCGGCGTGAGTTTTAAGCCACTGGGTCCATGGGAGTCCAGTGACACAGCCATTACACTAACTGCTGGTCCCTTATTCTAATTTCTTATAGCATTAATCATCGACTCTTTTTGACTTCTTTAAAATCTCTCCAATTCACTCACATCTCTCTAATCTCAGTAGTTTTAATATAAGCTACTAACTTCTCTCCCCGCTTAGCTACAACCTTTTAATTTGTACTGTGGTCAGCTATTTCTCTAGGCCCCAAATCCGATCATGTCCTGGCTCCCAATTCTAACCAAGATAAGACCCATCCTGACTTGATTCTTTTTTTTTTTCTCCAATTTTAAATGTTTTAAAGCTGTGTGTCCCAACCACGCAGAAATATTTAGTTTTCTTAACATGGTGCACACTCCTCCTTACCCCTTCCAGGACTTTCCCTTTCCTTCTCTTTTCACCTACACCACATCTTGCTTTTTCTATTTGCCTGCTATCGTCTAGACTACGTGCCTTGAAAAACGCTTCCTTGATATTTCCCTGCCACCCTCATTCCTGAGGAGTAAGTAGTGTTCCTCATTTGTGTTGCTGAGGTTTTTTTGTAAGTTATCCACTCTGACATTCTAAAGTAAGTTGTTTCTTTATCTTGTCTACTAAACTTGAAGGATGAGTTTCTTGGTCACCATACATCCCTGCTTTCCTAACCTCTAACATAATGAGAGACATGCAAGCTCTCAGTAAAGACGGATACAAATGACTACAAGAAAGGTGAATTACCTTAAGCAACTCTACCACAGTTTCTGCAAATCCAACCACATACATGGCAACTGCGACAGCATTGGCAAAAGCGAAGATCAGGCCAATTGCACCACCAAATTCTGGCCCTAGACTTCTAGATATTAAATAATATGCTCCTCCTAAAGAAAACAAAAAAAAAGAATTTAAGTTAGACTTTGTAATGCCCAACAATACTTTTAATTACACAAGAGTTCACAAAGCAGATGCCTCCAGTAAGCACAGCAGTTCATAGGCAAGCAGGCAAGTATATTTTCTGGAAGAAACACCCAAAAAAGAATTCTTCATAATCCAGTTCTGTCATTAACAGTCTCAACACCCCGAGAACTCTTCCATATCAAATATAAAATCATACAATTTAAAATCTCCACTTTCTCTTTTAAATCATTTTCTGTGATTAAAATAGGCAACTGCCTCTTCCTCGTATTCAAAGACACTTAGAAGATCATTTCCCAATAATTTTCTGAGTAATATATTTACTCTTAATATAACTTTTAAAAACAAAGTTGATTTGATTTCAGGTATTTAAACTATTATGTCAGTTCACTGACAGTGTGAATGAATACTAAAACAAAATTAAATAATCTCCCAACCAACTACAAAGAACAGTATATACTGGCACCCCGGAGATGCAGTTTCTATTCTGGTAAATTCCGCCTAAGTGGCAAAGTAAATAAATGCAATAAGTAAGCTATCATGAGCCCAGTAATTTTCTAATTGAAAAAAATCAGTTATTACGATTTGCAGTTAATCTAAGGCTTACTTGAGTCTCTAAGAGCTCTTCTAAAATTCTAACTTTAGGTCATAAAAAAACTTTAATAATACTGAAGTGACATGAAATTATATATACGTATCTAAATACTGATGAAAACACTTAAAGATGAAGGGTTTTTTTTTTTTAGAGGCCACATGCACTTGCCAGAGAGATGGGGAAAGCTGGCATTAGGGTGAAAAATCACGCTCCCAAGGAAGATGGCTATGCCACAATCCCTTCTCCTGTATTCTCCTCTTGGGATTTTGGGCAGGCATGCTTGCATGCATGTATATACACACACACACACACACACACACACACACTCGCCTGGGGTGTTTTTCAAGCCACCAGGTCTGGGGCTTGAACCACAAAGTTGGTTATGTGGGACTCAGCTGCCTTAATGATCATGTCACCAGCAGGCCTATAACATTTGATTCTCAACAATATAGTGAAATGCCAGTAACAGCTGCCTATTTGCTTTTGCTGTTCTCCTAGTATAAAGACAAATGCAACACAAAAATTGTCCCAATATAAAGACATAAGGAACACAAAACTGCAAATACAAACATTTTATTCTAAATAAAGATTCTATTTAGTATACATAGTTTAATAAACTACTAAATATACAAACTGCATTTTGAAAATACCTGTAATGGTTTTTAGAGTTGAATCCTATTCTCTCAAAATATTCTATACCTTAAATCCATCTACCCAATCCCTTAGTTACCCATTTACTAATTGATTTTCATCATCTTAAACTTTCTTTTCTTTTTTTATTCTTTTTTTTAAGAGAGATTTTTGCTAGAGGGCATGTGCACCTGCCAGAGAGACAGAGACAGAAAGTGAGAAATCACCCGGGGCGGGGCGGGGGGGGGGGGGGGGGGGCGTAAAAAGAATGGGGGCAGGGCACATGTGTGTGCGTGCCCAAGATCCTAAGAGGAGAATGGAGGAGAAGGGATTGTGGCATGGCCATAACCCCCAGAGAGTGATTTCTCACTTTCTGTTTCTCTGTCTTTCTGGCAAGTGTATGCGCCCTATAGCAAACTCCCCCCCCCCCAAAAAAAGGCATAAAAGAAAATGAGAGGACTGGCCCTGCTGTCTAATGGTTAAAGAAGCCATATCTCACAAGGCCCACCACAGATTGATTCTTGGCCTCAGCACCTTGAAAATAATGCTTGGTACATGGGCATGCTCCCTAAATCCTAATAGGATGGAGAAGGGATTGTGACATGACCACATCTTATTGTGGGGTACTTTCTCTCCCTGTTTCTTCCTCTAGTGAGTGCACATGCTCTCTCACATTGAAAAAATAATAAAATGACGGGACCAGCAGTTAGCATAACGGCTATGTCGCTGGACTCCCACGTAGTCGACCGCGGTTCGAGTCTCGGACCCAGGGGCTTAAAACTCACGCCGGGCGCATGTGCGTGCGTGCCCAAGATCCCAAAAGGAGAATGGAGGAGAAAGGACTGCAGCGTGGCCATCCTCCCTGGGGGTGATTTCTCACTTTCTGTCTCTCTGTCTCTGTCTGGCGAGCACACGTGCCCTATAGCAAAAACTTCTCAAAAAAAAAAATAATAATAATAATAATAAAATGAGAAACTATCATCAAAATGATAAGCTTCTGCTCTTCAAAAAACATGATTAAGAAAATGATAAAATGATTAAGACATTCCACAACCTAGGAAAAATACATATAATATGTATGTCAAACACATCAAAAAATATTTAAAAAGCTAGAAATAAGTAGCAAAAAGATAACCCAATTTAAAAACTGACACAAGATTTAAACAAGTCATGAAAGAAGATAAACAAATGAGCACATAAAAGATGCTACTATCATTAATCATCAGAGAAATGTAATAAGACATCATTACACATCCATTAAGAACTACAATTATTTAGAAGACAGAATATGCATTGGGAAGACTGTGGGAAAACTGAAAGTCTCGTATATTGCTGACTGAGAAAATTTCTTTCCAATAGATATTCAATTTTCTTAAACCCCTTTCTCCTGAGAAATCTCATCAAGGAACCAGAGATAAAAAAAAAACAAACGCCTCCACTCCCACCTAAGACACTTATTCTAAAAAAGCTGAGATATGACCTAAAAAACTATCTGCATAATAAGATAATCTGTGTTCTAATGCAGTTTCACCCTTTGCTGCCTTCTTTTTCTGGTTTTTAACATTTATTTATTTAATTCTATTAGTTATTATTATTTTTTAACTTGACCAGAGACAGAGAGAAAGGGAAAGCAAGAAAGCAAGCCACTAGATCCAGGACTTGAACCATGGTAGGCCATGTGGGAATCCAGCACCCTTAACCACCATGCCACCTGCCAGCCCCCACCCCCATTTTCTCATAAATTTTTGGTCTCTTTCAGCTCCCAAAGAGAATTATTTAATAACCACTGTCTGAGGATTAGACTCATTCATTCACCCATTTTCCTTTCTCCTTTGAAGAGGGCCCTTCTTGAGCTTGTATTTTGGACTGCTCCTATATACACACATGCACATTAAAATAGAATCTGTATGCCTTTTCTATAAATCTGTCTATTGTCAGTGATTTCCAGCAAATTATCAAAGGGAATGGGAAAATTCCTTCACTCCCTACACTTATTACAAGTTATACAGTACACAGTTCAACACTACGTAATAATAAAAATGAGTAAACAATTAACATATGAATCATAGATGAATTTTGGAAACACTGTACTGAGTTAAAAAAGAACACTGAGCATCTTTCTGTATAATGTAAGCCTTGGCCAGAGGTGAAGAGCTAATCCCAAAGGAACTTCCTGGTGTGCTGGAAATATTCTGCAGAGGCTTATCAAAATTCATAGACTGGAAAATTAAAGTTTGTA